GAAGATCTATACCCTTTGTAACAACTGATATACACTAAAACATGCACTAAGGTAGCACTGTGGGCTTTGACACTCACTCTCAAGTCATGATGAGCCCTGGTAATAGTCTGCAAATGCATCTTCTTAGCCTACTGGCAATGCAACGTATTTTGACACAGCTCCGTCTACAGCGATGGAGGCTCACGCCTCAGATTTCGTACTTTTCATTTACATGGAGAAAGAATACTTCAGTCATTTTTTACAATATACCATTTACAAGTCCATTACTTTGATATTATTTTCTACATTACATATTTAGAAAAAAAGAATCTGATAATCAATTGATAAATTTTGCCAGTGGAAATACACATTTTAACAGGTCTCAGCTTGTCCTTTTCTGGTTGATTTGAGAGCTGAAACAGATATACAGAAAGAAGTTCATTTAATGAAGTCCATAGGAACTGCACATGTTGCATTAATTCCTCTTTTCCAAAAATATGATGATAAGTAAATAGTTCTAGGATAGTTAAATGGAGTATTGGAACAAACACCAAACAGAAACACAGGGTAACATTTTCATTCTTCTTTTGATTGTTGCTTAGATTTGTAAAAAAAATTCATATTGCTAAGCCTAAAAGCCTTAAAGTTATGAGTGCCATTTAGGAATCAGGACTGGTGTGACATATTCTCTACTGAAAACAATGAATGATCAAAGCAGGATGAGATTATAGCACTGTGATTTGTGTTTCATTTCCAATAATGTATTTGTATGTATGTGTATATGCTCCTATGCATCCATAGTAACCACAGCCATAACCCAGAAAGTATGGTGTTGGGAGCTTTGCTCTGAAAATCAAGTAGCCCATTAGGAGGCATAAATATTAATAGAGCTGTCTAATCCTACACTCTCAAATGAGGTAGTTCAGATCATGATTCTTTGCATTTAAAATTTATTCACTCCACCAACTAGAATAAGAAACAGAATCCACATGTGAAGAAGTCACTGACGTTGGGCGGTCTCTTAGCCACTGATAATTCCTAAACATAAAAGTAAGGATCAAGTTATTTCTTCCCTTATTCTTCTCCCAGTTCTCCTACAAATACTAATGTATTCAAAACTGCATGTGCCTAGTTCCATGACATTGCGTAGGTATCATATTCTCTACAAAAACTCCACTTCCACATTTTCACATTCAGATATCTTCAGGCAATATGAAGGCTTTAGTGCAGGTTCATAAGAAAGAGCGCACTGTCATCCCAAGTGCAGAACACACAATACCTGGGGTTTCTTTTAGTGGTCATATTAGCAATCATTTTCAAATTTTCTTTATGTAGTTGTCATTAAAGTAGGAAATTCATGGTGCAAACTGTTGCAACGCAAAGAAATAAATATGAAGTATTAAAAAAAACACAAGCATGCAGCTAAAGCAGGATATACAGTCCTCCTAAGAGATAAGTTACCCTGTCATTCTGGATCAAAAGTAAAATACTTGTGCTTTGACTATAAAGTAAAGTAGAGACCTGAAATACCAAACAGAGTGCAAAACTGTTCAGGTATTCCCTAGAAATGATGCAAAACTTTGTCAGGAAATTCAGGAAATACCACATAATCAACAGCATAATTAATATCGGCCAGTAAAATGGCATTACCTACAATATAACCTAGGTTCTACTAAAATTTAGAATTATGGAGGCTAGCCTCTAAAAAAACAACATAAAATTAATTAGATGCTTTTATAAAGTTTTTCTAAAAGCAGCCCTAGCAAACACAGAGATTTCTGCTTGTATGCATACCCATAGTGGAACTAGTAACCTCTGACCTTCACGTACCTGAAGCAAAAGACACAAAACCAGATGATCTTTATCTATTGAATCAGTAAAATGAAGATGAAGTATGCTGAAATATAGGCATCCATATTTAGCAAAAAGCGTGCTATAGTGCCTCATTCCTTTTCACCCAGCTCCAGCCTATCCTTTTGTAGTCTCTGCAGTGAGCACATCCAAATCCCACCAACAGGTGCTAATGGTTACAGTGCTCATTATAATCTCTAGCATGACTCATGGATAGAATTCCTTTCATTTCTGCATCTGTCTTCATCAGAAAATTTTGAATTTTTGAATTTTCTCATGTCCCTCAGCTGACAATTAAATATAGATACTAATTTATTTATCTAATTTGATCTATTTCATGTAATAAGAAAGATTCAAACAATATATATACTAGCATATGGTTGTTGGTTCAGTCACTTTATATATCCTTTATTAATTAAAAAGATGGTGTAAAAGTCTGCCTCTATTTTCATGTTTTCTCTTTTCAGTAATTTTCATCACTAAATATAATGAAATTACCGCAACCTAAAAATCCAGCAAAAGAGAGCATATTGGGCCTTTCTTCTGTGTCATACAAAACCAATGCTATTTCCAAGCAGCTATTGCTACTAAGATGCTCTGACTCTATTGCAACTTTGTTCTACAACACGATTCCGTTTACTACTAGGTATGGGGGCAATCCAAGCCAAGGATAATCTTAGGTTATATACAGGTGAGTAGAGCATGAGTTACTCGGAGAACAGAGATTGCGACAGCTATGCCAACTGCCCAGGCTGAAGGTATTCAGTTCTCTGCACTTATCAACGGGAAAAGGTAGGCTTCTGCTGCTTTTTATTGTGCTGTGTGCGTAAGGAATTTAACTGGAAAGGTACCTACTGAATTTCAAATAACTCTCTCTTTATTCTCCTTCAGGCTCACAGGACAATAAACATGACTTTCTCAACTACTGGGCTCTCCCTCCCTTTATTTTTGCTATTTTTCTGATTATTTTTTTAATATTCTCTCATAGGAAAAGATGCTTTCTGAGAACAATGATGGAGGTCTGCATCTTTATTTATGACTTTGTGAATCAGTGTCTGGGTGATAGGAAGTGAAAGTTGCTCAGCTAATTACGTACGCTTGATGAACTGCGTAATAACTGCTGCAGCACTGCACATTAATTGAATGCATATAAATGACAGCAGTTATTCTAACTTGAATGATGTGCGAAGAAGTGACGCTGCTCACAGTACTCTGATTATATTTGTTTCCAACTTTGGGAATCCAGCTTAAACAATTGTATTTTTACAGCACTGAGCAAAAATTCCCTAATAGAAAACATTAGAAGTTGCCACAAAGCCCGACACTTTAAAAACAAATTGCCTTAAGTCAATTAAAATGGATTTAGACATCTAAAAAAGCATACACTGAGCAACTACAATTAACAATTAATAATTAACAACTAGCTATGACTAACATCAGTAGGAGCTGTAAAAGCAAAAACGTCAGAAAATAAGGCCTAGATGCCTAGATATCGCCTTAAAAACCCAATACAGAGTTTACAGAGTTGAACAAAGTTCAACTCTGAACAATTTCCCGCTATAACACTTTCCTAAAATGTATTTGTTCTGGAATAACAGGGACATATAGCAACTGATATAAAAAATATGGATTACAGCTAATAGGCAACCGCATATGTCCACACTACTTTTTGTTTACCCTAAAAATTATTCTAGATTCCAATGTAGTCCAGCTATTAACACATTATTTTAAAGAAAACAATAAAGAAAAATAATTTTATATAAACCAAATGTGTAAAATAGTACAAAATTAGTACTTTAAAGTAGTTCCAAATACCTACTTTAAATCAGTACCAAAATAGAGCTTCTATATCACACATCAATTGCTTCAGGAATTTGCAAATGTTCACAAGGAAATCTGCAGATTCTCCCATGCTATCTAACACAAAAAGGGCAGAAGCCAAGTTTCCAAAGCTTCCAAAAGCAGCCTAGTTTCCAAAGTACCATGTCACAATATTTTAACTTTTCCCTACGCCCCTCTTAAGAGATTTTCGGCTTTACAAAGAGAGCTGTAGTCACATAATAAAGGAAATCAACGCTCGCTTTTAGAAGCGTGTAAACGAGAAAAAGAGTTTCACATCTACATTTCAAGAAAGTTAACACTGTTCCAAGAAAATAGACTGTATCTCGTAGAAAGTCAATGCAGATTTTCAGCCTTGCTTTGCTATAATACATCACAGCCATTATGCTATACCACTGGAATACAGAGCTGTGGAGCCGTGCCAGCAACTTCAATGGCAATAGCACCAGGCCCCAGGCATACGAGCTACCTCCTGTGCATGCATATACAACATACTGAATCTACGTACGAGTGACAGACACTCCTCCAAACCACGAGGCCAAGACAAGAGGGGCTGCCAACAAGGTCAGAATGAGATAGTGCAAGAGCGATGATCAGGTGCAACTGACTTCAGGCTTTACAAATGTTATCTTCTCATCTGCTTCACAGGGTCCTCTCTTTAAATACCTTTCTGGCTTCATTAGGACAAGACAGTCCCTAACAGTTCACTTCACGGCATCAGCAAACCAGCCTCTTTCAGCTGTATTATTCGTTCTTCCTTTGCAAGGTTTCAATCTTTCCCCCATATTTATTTTTTTTTTGTCCACTTTATACATACCTCCTTTTCTACAAATTTTCTTGCCGGGTTTTCTGGCACATTCCTTGGATATTCTTTTGACTGAAAAATGAATAGAAGACTAGAAAATAACATGGAGCTCCATCACAGACAGTAGGAGCATGCAACACCACTATCTAACTTAAATATGACCTGCTTTATTAGGTGCGGAAGATTCTCAACTCGTTGTGCCTGCACATGCAATGGATAAGATGTTGATGCATCTTCCCAGAAGTCAGTGGGTGGCAATGAGAATTAGGCACCAACTTTGACCTAAAAATACACGTGCTGTGGAAGAAAAACAATGAGTGTAGACAGAAAGGAAAAAAAAAAAAAAAAAAAGAGAAACAAAACCCAAGGACAGATGCATACACAGAAAAGCAGCATGCATACATGTAATATGCTGGCATGCAAACAAAGAAAGCCATGCGTGCTACCAGTACACGTGAATTAATATTGTTAGAACGTAGAACAGGAAAATAAAAAGATCTCCCTGTTTCGCCTGCTATTAACTCACCATCCTCGGTTGGGACATAGATATTTAAATAGAGGCAGTCTTCATTCTGATCTTGTACATAGGTGGAAACTACATCCAAGTTATTAGTAAACCACACGGGAAGCATCACTTCAGGCAACCTGCCTTCTATAATGTTCTGGGGACACACTGGAGCAAACTGAGTAGTATTTTTGATATCTGCCCAGGGAGACGGAGGCTCAGGAGGTTGAAAGCGGCGCTCCCCTGTTGGAGGGGCAGCATACGGAACCCCAAGAAACTGAATAACGGGCCCCAAAATTTCATTATTAAGTTCCTTCTTAATCCCTCTTATCTTGCCAAAGTTGGTGGTCACCACTGGGTTGGTATCATCCAATTTTTGGGAGGACACAGCTGTAGCGTGAAGCAAAAATCCAAGTATACAAAAAGCGAAAGTGGCATTCAATCCCATGTGTAACAGGCGGACTATCATCGCTCTCCATACACAGTTCAGCCACATGGATCTTGGAAAGGCCATGGTCCCACATTAGTTGTGTAACTACAGTGAAGCAATCTGATTTGTATCCACGGGTGTAAAAACAGAGCAACCGAAGGAAACAGATCAAGTTTCCTAAATAGGTGCCTGTCAGAAAAATCTCAAAAGGCTTTTCACGCGGTAAGTATCTTCCATTGATTTCACACTTATTGGAGCTGCATCTTCACTCAGCACTATTTATCAGACTACATCCTATTGACAATTCTGTTTTCCATAGCAGCAATATGAAGAGAGCAGCCATTTACTGCAGAATCCCCTCTTATAAATCAAATCCAGTTAGCCGCAGGTCTATATCCTGGAGAAAATGAAAATAAATCATTAGTATGAAAGAGCTAATATGGGCAGAGTGATAACTAGATGTTTCACAAGTTATTTACATACATTAATATTTGCTAGAGTCATGTAAGTAAAACTGCAGTAGTTTATGGGTCCATGAAATGGCGGGTGAAACACTGATTACTGGATTATCTATAGTGTCACCTGTTGAATTTATAGATATTTTTCAGAAGAAACAGGACTCATAGAAAACACATTTTAAAAAATCACCTTTTTAAGAATAAGCAAGTTGCTGCCAGGTTACATTACATAAGTGTTTATGTTAATATTTTATTTAACTTAATCAGCTCATAATCAATGTTCACCTTGTTTGCACAAGCTGATTTATCAAAATGAACGTAATTATTTCTTAAAGCAGAAGATAGTGAAATTAAGAGAGACAGGCATACTGAAGACTTAAAGGCACTTTATTTCATTAAAAGCAGATTATAATACATACAAACTTTTTTTGTTAATTTTAAAATACAACTTCTGATTTAAACATTGAGGCAACTGGAATATCTTTGTAAGGATAGCATGAATTACTGTGCTTATTCATGAAAACCTGAATTACCATACTTTATATGGTTTTCTCCTTCCACAAGTTTCTGATAGATGATGACAAACACCTACAGAGTGAAATGTTCACATCAATGAAGGACCAAAATCTGCTCCCACTGAAGCGAATGGCAAACTCTGAATTTGCACAGAAGTATAACTGGACCTCAGTGGGTGTTTTTTTTCAAAACTGATTTGGAAAAGGATATGAACAGACAGTTTAGGGATGGAGCTATATATCACAATTTTTACTTCGGACCAATGGTGCATTCCTTATAAACTACTGACTTTAGTGAAAAATGAAAACGTATGATGAATGCACTCAATCCCTACCATCCTTAATTTATAACATAAACAATAAACATTCCCATAGGACAGTAGAAAGCTTATCTTTCATATACCCACATGCTGACTGAAAAATATCCTAGAAAAATAATCAGTTAGAATCGGAGACTGTATAATCTCAAGTTCCAGATCCTAATTGAAACTACTTTACCTCAGAGGTTGTCACACAAGGCTGTGTTCCAGCACTTCTGAAAATTGCTCAGTGCATATCATTATATCTTCCATATTCATGTTAAACATATTTCCAGCATGACTTACAATATCCTATTATTTAAGACGCAGTGTTATACACAACATAGCAGTGTAATCTTACGCTCCCTATTAAGCAGTGTGTAATGCACAAGAAATGTGTTTTGCTTTGTATAGGAAACATTTTCAACCACCTGCTTTTGAAAGAGCATTGGCAGCTTTAATGAGAATTGGGTTTTTATCATGTCTATACACATTGTAGAGAGAATTCAAAAGAACGGCTTGTCTAATAGTCAGACTACCCTGCAGTTTGGGTTATTAAAAAGGAGATTGTAAAAGCTATATAGGACAGCAGGAGATTTGGTTCAGGTCTAGTGTTCCTTTAGCTCTGAACAATCTATCTCAGGAGGCACTAAGGAGATAGATGAAGCTTTTCTGCAATTTTCTCTCTCCCTTTCTTTCTCTGCTAATTCTAACACCTTCCCTGTGAAACTGCATTAACAAACAGGCTTATATCCTTCATTCTCCAACTTCAATTTCTCAGCATTTGCTGGAAACACACCAGTTTAGCTCCAGAAAATAACTCTCCAAACCTGATGTACGTGTTTGCGTTTAGTTTAATAAACTTACACAGAATGGCATGCAGACAATTGCCTCTTGGAAGACTGTTGCTTTGTTCATTTCAGTTTTTGAAGGTAGTAGGACATTACTTGAGAAAAAGTAAAGACAGAGTACCTAGACAGGTGTCAGAGCAGAAGGCACCTAGTACATCTTAGCTTTTCCGAGGTGATGTACAGTAGGTCATGGAAAGATGGCAGCTTATTCCTTAGTGGTACTCAAAAACCTCCACAAATTTAAATCTTTTCCACTAGGTCTTAAAATCCACTTTTTTTTTCTTTTTTTTTTTTCCCTGTCAGGAGTGGGAAAATGTACTCTCTCTTCTTTCTCAAACTCAAACTTGTAAATAGCTGGAACTTAATCTCAGCAGCCCTTCTGCTAATTTACATGATCTGGGGAAGGTCTGAGGACAAACCAAATTCAGCATAGCTGGGCCAAACAATAACAGCCTTCTTCATTTCAAGCTGCTACTAATAATTCATTTAGCACTTTCACTCTAAAAGTCTTAGACCTGTTTTCAGATCTAAGACAACTTTTTAATACACTTTTGATACCTAAAATGCTACATTCAATATAAATGTGAATTCAAAGCAAATCCTAGAAATGGGCTAAAACTTTAAGGTTGTCCATCAGCTGTTTTGCCATTGCAGCTGAACAGTTCTGCTGTCATCTAAAGTCCTGGTTTGCCTCCCATGGACAAGGTTTTACTCTAAGATAGAGACAGGAGGCTAAAAAGGTAAGAATATAACTCAATGCTGTGTTTGGCTAGTCTTAATTAATTTACTATTGCATAGTAGCTAGCTTCAATGAATAGGCTATACAGGGCAGTACATGTAAAGCATTTGCAGAATTGGTATCAACAGATTTTCATTGTATTTGTAACATGAATTTTGGACAAGCCTTTCTTTTTAAATGGCTAAGTAACAGTTTGGTTTTGAAACTAAGAGGTCAAACATTCAAGCCTGTCACTGCCTGCCCTGAAGCTGTAACATTAAAAACACAAACTCACGCAAATAAAGAGACTGAGATTGCTCTAATCTTTTGAGATTTTTATGCCAAAATTTTATTTCCAGCACTAGGCAGAAAGACAAGCAGGGAAGCCAGCCTGGAGCATCTCTTACTTGCTGAGAGTCAATGTTGGACAAAATTTTCCTCAGTCCTTTAGCAGGTGATCTACACAGGACTTTCCCTTGGTACCTGGACTTGACTGAAGAGGAATCAGTGGAAAGAAAGAAGCAATAAACAGGAGCAGGAATAAAAGGGAGATGGGCAGGAGTAATGATGATCAATTTGGAGCAAGCTTCAGCATCAAAATATTGTGGATCTGAGGAGGAGGAGAAACATTTTCAGATTTTATTATTGTCTAGATGTGAGGATCACAATTGTTCCCTGTGGTAACACAAATGAATTCTACTGTAAAAGGTATTTGATAAAGTCTTTCATGGTGTTTGGAACAGTCTATACTATAGAGGTTTTTTCTATCATCTATTATTTTATTATCTTCCTTTCTGAATTTAAATTACTTTACAGCTCAGATTCTGAAATGCTTTAGAGAGGCATTTAGTATGCTGAGGAGCGAACAATCCAAGATAACTTCAGTGCATCTTTGCATTGCCAATGACATAGGGCATCCCACAACAGGTCACGTCTGCTGCAAACTGCAGCAGCTAAACTTCTCTCTATTACTCGTGTACAGAGCTTCAAATCTTCAGGGATGTCTTGAACTGCACCACCAGTCAATAGCTCCAATGGATTAATAAAACCCTTGAGGACAACCAAGGCTTCTGGCCATATGCCAGCTTCAACGCATGTAAAGGCATTGTTATGGTATCTTTACAGCACCGGCTGTTTTCCTTTTAGCTGAAGATGTAGTCTGCAATTTGATATTCATGCTTAAAAATTCCTTTCCACCTCAATTTTGCTAGTAAATCCCAGTTGCGCACGTATTCATAGAAAGTGATTGTAAGAGTTTTGAACACCACACAATGCTCCTTCATTTCAAAACACAAATGCTATTTTGCAGAACCAACTACCTTTGCATCCATTTTTACATACAACAGCCTCTACTTAGAACTAAGAGTCCAAAGATGTTTCATGTCGCTGAAAAGAAATCCATGTTCTAAAATGCTCTACGATGCCAAACAGGAACGTGGCCAGTGGAACAGAAGCCATTAAAGGAAAGGCTCTGACCGAGGGTGAACACTACGTCGCTGTGACACACCAATTGTAAACATGATCAGACAAAGCCTCAAGAGATGCATCACAGAATTTCCCATGTCTTCTTTCACATTTCAGGTTAGCAAAGGGAAGCATTGTGTCAAATACTGCATATTTGGTCTCTGTGTAGTAGTAAAGATTTTGAAACAGAGCCTGCTCTTGGGTATTTCCATAAATACTTGGTGAAGGGAAGGGATACGCATGTATTTAGTTCAAGAAATGAACTACATGCATTTTAAAAAACGAGTGTACAAAATGATAATAGAGGAGGCTGCAGTCCTGAATACATACACCTAGGAAGGGTACAGCTCTGGTGGGGTTTGGTTAGCTCCCACGTGCCGGCACCCCCTCCACCTGAGAGCAGCCACAGCTCTGGAAGCTTCAGTAAGCAGCTACAAATCCAACCCTACTGAGATGCACCACCTTTGCTGAGATCGCCAACAAAGGTATAAGACATTATTCCGATGGGGTCACAGTCCCACCCCACTTTAGTATGAGATTACAAGTGTTATGCTACACGGGTCCACAAACAACCCAGTAGTAAGGATTTCCAGATGCTACAAGCTGTGTAAATACATCACTCCCAGATCAGAGAGGCTGATTCCACGGAGCCATTCTTACATTTACCTCTATTTAATATTACGTTTTATACACAAAACCTTACAACCAAATTAGTTAAGAATACAATACTTAAATACAGTATTCAACACAGTGTAGCACAAATTAGTGAAAAGTTGAATTAAACTGAGTAGATGTTATAAGACTCATTTAAATTGTCATGCATTTTTCAGCTTCACTATACTTTTGTTCTTCCCCATTAGTGGGAATATTCACTAACGTTAACTCATTATTAATTAGTATTTTCATGATCAAAAGATCCCTTTAAATAATTTCTGCAACTTAGTTTGCCTAAATAGGAAGACTTCTGATCATAACTTTCTATTAAGCTGTTTCTGAATTAGACAAATTAAACCTATGAGAAGAGGGTCACTTAAGTCTTGTTATCTTCCATTTACTTGTATCAATAAATCATTTTCTTAAAATCGTT